GGGGGGGGGGGGGGGGGGGGGGAGAGTTTCGAAAGTCGGGGTTCCTTTTCGAATCGGAAATGGATGGCATTCAAATTAAAAAGTGCAACCAATTAAAACTTAAATTGACGTCTGAGAGTTCAAATTGACCCTTTCAATGCCCTAAAGTTGCCCGCTGAAGAAGGCGAAAGAAGAGTTGGCCAATTTGAACTCCCAGGCGTTTTGTTGCACTTTTCAATTGGTATGACATCAAATTGCGATTCGGAAGGGAACCCAAACTTTTGAAAGTGTCCCCCTTCCCTTTACCTTCCAAGGAGGGCTCCGGGATCATGAAAATCGGATTCCTTAGGATCAATTACCTACCTGGTCTACCACCTTTTTCCGGAGAATCTACGTCTACTCGGTAACCATAAGGCAATTATGGATATCGTTAATTAGTGGGACTATTATATGTAATATAATTTTTAATGTAATATGATTTGAATTGAAGGTTTTGAATGTAACCGCCCCTATTCCCCCACTACCGACCCTCAAAAACTTATTGGAGGTACAAGACTTTGGAGAAGAACGTTGAAGTATGAGCAATCAACATACGAAGTTTGGAGAAAATTCAATTTAATTTTCTCATGAGACTCTCTGGAGTTGCATTGAAAAGTATCGAGAATTACCGTAACGGACGTCGCCCATACTCGGAATTTGTGTGTGTGTGTGTGAGGGTGTGTGTGTGGGTGTGTGTGTGTGTGTGTGAGGGTGTGTGTGTGAGGGTGTGTGTGTGAGGGTGTGTGGGGGTGGGTGTGTGTGTGTGTGTGTGTGTGTGTGAAAGAGATTGAGTTCTAGCTCTCGCTTACATCTAGAGTCAATGGGCGACATTGGTGGTGGTAGTAGTTTCCAATACAAATGATCACTGAATGCTCAGAAACATGTCATTCTACTCCCTTTCAGTATGAATCAGTACATTATGGCTCAATTGCTTTCACTAAATTGTACGTAACGCGAATTATTGCTTATCTAGGGCACACACAGTGTAGCAGCGCTAGCGGCGAATCTTCTCCCTTGATCATACAGGACCACTTTTAGGGCCGGTTCCGTCATCGCTGGTAAAATCTGCTAAAGCGTATTTTCGTTGATGATCGGTCGAGCCAAAATGCCGCGATAATGGCGGCGAGATCATAATCGGATCGGTAAACATTTGAGGTTAGACTTTCGGAATTGATGCGTTCGGAGGCCATCAACTTCATCAGGTCATTTCTAAACCCTACTTAAAGAGCCCGTATCAGACGATCCAAGTAAAGCTCGCAAAATGGCGTCACGTGGGGTCACGTGACCCTCCATTGGCCCTCTCATTGCCTCATTGGGGTCACGTGACTCCACTTTGAGAGCTCCACTTTGATCGTCTGATACCGGCTAAGCAGATCTTATTTAAAGTTCCGAACCTCTTTTGGAAGTTCTGCCCGGTTTTGTCTCATCGACCATCAACAGTAGTGGTCACCGTTGCCAACAGATTTATGGAATGGAGAATTCGCACGCAATTTTTTTATTGCTTCATCTGAAAGTGCCTAATGAGCTGAGTTCGCAATATTTTTCATAATTTTTTTCTGACATGGGAAATTGGAGAAAAATTGATTTAAAAGTGAGAAAATGTGCCGCCTTGTGACGTCATCTGGCGGCATTTCCCATTTAAACACATGTATTTTAGCAGAATCGGTTATTTTGTCATATCTCCTCTAATAATTGCTCAATTTATGAATCAAGGGTATCTTCGTGTTCAGTTCACTCAGAGGATTCCACTTAAACAGGAAATTCATCAAATTTCAGACCCTTGCAAATTCTCCATTGCAACTTAAATGGAATAGAAAGACTTGGACGATTTTTCGCTAAAATGAAATGTTACGCAGAGCCCCTCTTTGATGCCTTCTGTCACAAAAATGAACATGTTTCGTTCCAAATCAATGTCAGATCCTTAAAATAGAACTCTTAAGGAACACCTTTGTCCCTTAAAAAATGCGATTCGCTCGAATCGCCCATGACCGACCTGTGCCATTGACTCGATCCACCGTGCGACGTTGCGACTCGTCAGTCACCAAATCGGAGGTTCCGAACACAAATGAAACGGCTGTTGGAAGGTCCGGGCGCAGAAGTAGTATCGAACCTGTTAAAAAAATTCGCTTTTTTGATAGGATTATATTTTGGCTCCAACGTTTGGATGAATTCCACCCTCTATCCGTCCGGTGAGTCCCGATGTTGTTCCGAAAAATGATGATCGAGTCTAAACAAAATACGAAACCGCTTGATCCAGCCATATTGCTTTGACCGATCATCAACGAATGGATACGTAAGCAGTCATGCGCTTGTTTCATAACCGCTTGGCAGGCACATTCAATGCACCAATGTAGCGACATAATGCCGCCAACTATGGGCGCATTACTATGGAATACCGTTTGTACGAAAACCTATCTTGAGGGGGGAGTATGGAACGCCGTTCGAGTCGAAGCCTTTCTTCGGCGCGCGGAATTAAAGAAGCCGTGTTTCTTTGAAAAACTCTAATTTTCCAGATTCTTCTCCAAAGAGCTGTATGCAAAAACGACATTTTTCGCCCCCCCACTACAACTTATTCAAACTTCGTCTATCAGTCACTAATACTGGAGCGCTTCTCTTCCCAAATTTTCAGATCCCCAAAAAATTTTGGGGGGGGGGGGGGGGGGGGGGAGTCATAACCTGTGAACCTCGATATCTTTCGAACGAAACAAGATATTTAGGCCCGGTTTGGACGAAAAATTGTCTAAAATTGCATATTTTAAGATTATAAAGGTCAAATTCCCAAAATTACATTTTTAACTTAACTTATGTGCTTTATTTCAGTTTTTGAGGAAAAACAATTTCTTTTAGACACACCAAACTGAAAGAGCACAATTTTGTATTTGAACCAAAACCAGTTTTAAAAGTGCTCGTCTTTTTCCGCATCCAACGAGTGGTCATATAAGCTGGGGAACCGAACGGTTCCGGAGTTATGAGCGCCGACCGGCCACTCAGTGGTCCTGTACTAGAACGGGCCTGTTGACAGGTTACGGTTCCTTGTGTTTACCTGTCTCAGCAGTTATGGTTAATGCAGTCTGATTGACACTCAATTCATTTAGAAATCGAATGATCATTAAGCTTTTAACGCGCCCGTAAGAAAGCATGTAAAATTTTGATACCACCCTTCGAGCGTAATGACAGTCATTTTGCATAACCGACTAATTGGAGGAGAATCACAAATCTGCGTTGCACGAGTCACTGGAGGGGCGGGAGGCACGTTTCTAATAAGGTCTTGAACATTCGTAAGGAAACCAACGTCTTCAACTGTATCCTGTATAATGGACCAGTAGCAAAATTCAGTTAGAGCATAAAGAATAAGAGGTCTTAAAGAAAATACATGTTCAGCCGAATACAGAAGAATTTTTCGAACTAAAAATGAGCACCTTCAAAGTAAAAGCAAAAAAAAAAATTCCTATGTCATA